TTTTCTACCGGTTTCATGGCTGCTTCATTCCTCACAGAGAGCTTCTTAGAGGTAGTGAGGGTTTAGTGTGTTTGGAGTTGTGCTGGTGGATGTGGTTAGGTCAGAATTCATTGGTTTTGCTACAAGTGTTTAAGGAAGAGTTGAGAACACCACACCCATTAGGTTTTTTTTCTTACGTGAATTTGCTAAAAATTAGGGGGAGAGGGAGGTAGTTTAAAAGTGGGAAAACAACACATGCTGGACTTCCCATTCCAACGAGGAAAGCATGCTTTTGTGGCAAACTGAACGACTAGGAATCAAGGGTGATGAAATGCAGGCCTTCCGGCCCTCATTCTGTTCCTGATTTCTGGTTGTGGGAATCTGTTCTGAATCCAACTGCAAGTGGAAAACCCATCTTTGGCTGAGCAGCCAAGGAGGCCTTCCTGCCAATCCCCCAAATGTGCTGCTGAAACTTTGGCCCTGAGAGGCTGGAGCTAGGGCTGTCTTCCCAAGATCTGTGCAGCTGTCAAGGTAGCTGTGATGGGACTGTGACCAGCCTCCACACTGCATTTTGGCAGTGACCTTGAGACCAACCAGCTCACTGCAGCTGCCCTGGTCCTCTGCTGCCGCTTTTGCAATGCCAGGAGGCTAAAGGGAGGGAGACTCCTCTGATCCTGCCCTTCCCAGTGTCTGGCAGGTGCCAGCTGTGCTGCCAGTTCTTCCAGTGCTTACCACCCACTGGGCATAGGGGCATTCCAGGTGTGTCAGCGGAGATAGTGGCTTGTTCCACCCCTGGCTCAGGTCCCAATCTCTGGGAAGTGGGTGGCTCTGTCTGACCGCCAGGCTGGTGCGCAGACAGACTCCACGTGGTGACTTGCTTGGCAGCTCTGCAGAGAGATGCTCAGTGACAGTTGATGATCTTGGGAGAGACAGAAGCCAAAGGTGCCCTTTTTTCCCCAAAGGTATGAGCCCAAGTTCTCCTTCTAGTAGGGCAGAGATTTCGTTGAGAGAGAAAGGTCATCAGAAATGCCCAGAGCAAGAGAGAAAAATCTTTTCTCTCCAGCCTCTCAGAGTGGCAAGTGTATTTTGAAAACTCCTCCTCCTTCCTAGTCCTCTTCCTGTCCTTTTTCTTTTAAGTGGCTTTATTGTTATTTTTTAATCCGTTGTTGTCATTGGACATTTATTGACAGAAATCAAATTGCTGTGTTTCTGGGCAAAGCGCCTGCTGCAAAGAGGTGTGGTTCCTGAGGAATGAGACACGCAGCCCAACAGCTGAGCCTACGCTGTCCTCGCATAACCTCCCTGCCTTAAATATCGCCAATATTTAGCCTTGCCTTATAAAGTAAAAATGCACAATACCTTCCAGAGTTTCAGCAAGCCCAAATGCCCCCCTAGGCTCAGTTTATCTCCTGTACATTGGAGGTAGAACGGCGCGCCCCTACCCCGTGCGGACCTGCCCTCAGAGCCACCAAGAGGTTACTAATCAGGGAGACTCCGCCATCGATCCGATGGTGGCAACCTGGGAGATTTGTGTGCATTGTTTTTGCTGAAGCCTCCTGTGATTTCAGCGCGACCAGATCCTCTGCAGCGAACTCCATGTCGCAGCTTGTGGCTGCCTGTGTCCTGTGGTGAGAGCCCAGCCGCACAGGAGATCCTTTGTCTAGGAAGGGCTAGGCTGAGAAGATCACTTTGGAGTTGCTAAGCTCTGCATTGCCATTGGCTGCACTCTTTGTGGGGCTGTTTTTGCAAAAGGCATGCCCAGCACGTCTACAGTGCTGGCAGGCCAGGGCTGCCTTTAAACACCATGATAATAATACCAAAAAGCAGTTTGCAGAACTGTTCCACTGTAGAGGCTTCCTCTGCAGAAGCAAGCAAGATGGCTACCTCGTGGGCTTCGCTGTGAAGAATGCAGAGGCTAATTAAGACAGACTTTAAGGGGAAAAAAGGGTATTTCCCTACTTCATCTTTATGCAAGAATTTTTTTCAGTGACTTTTAAAGTATACATTTTACATAAACTCTTTAGGTTCTGCCTAGCAAACATGTTGATGATTTTAAATGGTATAAATAGTTTTACAGAGAAATAGCCAAAAATTTTTTGGGGGTGGGAGCTCATTTTATTTCTTAAACAGAGGTTCATTTTGCAATTTGATTTTTTTTTTTTTTAGGTTATAAAGGAAAACAAGAGGCCCCAGAGGGAAAAGAAGCCCAAAGTTTTAAAGGTAATCAGCTGTTGATTAAATAATATTTAATTATTTTTCCATTTCATATAGTATTTTTCTGTCACTTGGGGGTAAATTTGCAGTACAGTGGATGTGCATTCTCCCGGATTTTCAGTAGATAAATGAATTCTCACTCAACTAAAGTGTTTTCTCTCTTTTTTGATGTGCTGCATAATGTGCATATTAGCATCCTTTATTTTCAACTCCACACAAGTCTGCAGAAGGAAAAGTTTATATGCAAAGTGTTGTGAATAAAATTTGTTTTTCTTTATAGCTCTCCTTGTAGCATCTGCATTTGTGATGTTGTTGCACCAGTGTGTAAACTTAAGCTCTTTAAGAGAAAGGCACTATTTGAAGTTGACAGCTATGATCCATTGTGATTTTAATAGACTCTCCATTAAGTACTCTTTTAAAATGTGTGATTTTTTGTCCAAAAAAAAAAAAGTCCTTAGTCGTTTTAGTTCAACTTAAAATGTGTAAGTTGTTGAGATTTCACAGCCAAATTATAATTGTTTGATCTCAGATTTACATTGTATCATCATTAATTTTGGCATTCATGGAGCTCTAGGAATATACATGTTTTCTTTTCTATAGTGTGCCTATGAGTATTTAGTAGTAACCTAATTCCGTTATAAGCTAGCAATCTGTGTTATGAGATTTGTACAGTATTTAGAAGGGTTAATTTAAAAGCATATGGCATCACTAAAAGTTCAAAGCTAGCTTTACTGTAGCACATAGGTGCTTATGTGTTTAAAATTTCCAGTGGTATATTGCTACTATAAATGTAAGCAATATTTGCAAGTTACCTTTTAAATTCAGGATAAAATATTAAGCAATAAAATGACTGGTCTTTAAAATTATATCGTGTTACATTTAATTTAAAATATTTTAACCTCATCATAGTTTTTCTTTTGCAAATAAAGTTTTAGCACTCAAAGAGGAACATGTTGAACTATACATGTGGCAGAATTTTTATCTTAATTTTTTTCCCCAGTTGTGTAACTTGAAAATATTGACACGGAGAACAAAACCTTGCATTGCTTTCGAATTTGTCTGACCACCTTGAGTTTCTGTTTCCTGTGTATACACAGCATTTCCATGTACATTTTTCATCAACCAACAAGTATTTATTTAATATTTACCACACAGTCAGCAATGTGCTAGGCACTGTGAAATGAATGAAATCGCTTGGCACAAATTCTCACTGGGTCTGGACAAATAGAGTAGTGGTTATTTTTAAGGTAAAAATTTTAAGGTAAATTTTAAGGTAAAAACCCTCTTCTGTTTTTCTTCTTCATGTTGATCCATCCATCCTATTTTATTACCTTGTCCTCCAACAACTACAGAAGTGTATCATTAAAAGCACTACTTATAGTTCCTAATCTCCTTCTACACTTTCTGTATTGGGTATGTCTATGTCAGGCATTTTGTCTTAAATTCAAGTAAGAAATAGCTTCAGTCTTACTGTTGTAAATGGCTCTCAAATTTGGTGAGGAGGGGCAGGAGGAAGTGATAGACTACTTGGAGAAACTAATATAGACCAAGATTGGTAGCTAAATCTTCTCCCACCTTTGCTAGGAAGTAGAATTGGACTTTGGGAATGCTATTTAATTCTATGTCTACTTTGTTAGTCTGTGGATGTCCTGTCACCTGAAATAGATTTCAGAAGTAAATATACCATGTGTTGCTTTTTGGAATCATGGTAGTGAACTCGGACATTTTTTTTTTTTTAAGTGCCATTGGGTGGCCAAATTTCATCTGCCACAGCAAGCAGAACTGAATTGTTGCTCACTTTCTTCTATGGTTAATGATTGTTGTACAAGAGTAGGGAAATGTTCTAAAAGGAAAAAAATTCCTTTTTTCTGATTTAGCATTTTAAGATGTTTTTAAGAAACTTTGTTAGACATAATTTTTTTTCTTTTTCAAAGAAAGCTTTGTTTCTACAGTAGAAATGCTAAAAACTTTCAGATTTTAGCTTGATGTGTGTGAAATTCAACTAGAGCAAGTGTAGAATATTATAAAACCCTAATGGAGATGTTAAGAAAGTGATACCTGTGTTTTGGGAGGGAGAGTGGGAGAAGAATACAACTTTCAGCTTTAGGTTTTACGTGTGAGGACTTCAACACTCCAGCTGTATGCTACCCAGGTGATCCATGATGGGACTCTACAGGTTGCAATTTGGTCTCCTATCATAATTCTCTGTCTTCGCATGTGGCATCATACCAGAGATCTAGTCTGCTTCCTTTGACTCTGTCCTCTTAGAGCTTCAAATCTCCTGGGTCACCTGGTCTTTGTCAGGGTGGATGCTGCACGTATCATGACTGACTTTTCATCTTCATCATCTATTGGAATGTATTTGGATAGATGAAGGGGCTGATTAAAGAAACCCGGTGTAGAATTTGAGACTCCTTCCATTCTACACTGTACCTTGTAACTACTGAATCCAGCTGTGGGGCTGAAATGGCCTGGTATGTCTCATACTTCTCCTCTTAAAATATATATTATCTATTAATAGATTGATACCTATATTAATTCTACTGTACTTCAGAATTTAAAACCATAAATGATATTCTCACGTCCCTGACTAGAGAGTCTTCCTCTAGCTGAAATGACAGTTTCTGTCCAAAGCACTCTAATGGCCAGAATGGATATCAAATGTTCGTGGGCCAGGTGGGTAGGAATTAGCTTAGCATCAGCTTCCCGTTTAAGCCCTATTGGTGATGACTAGAATTTTTCTCATGTATAGACGGCAACTATATACATCATCTTGTGTTTCAGTGCTATCATTGGAAACATAAGAGTTTCCTTGACTCTTGAATATGGTAGAGATGTGGACTAGTTTCAGTATTTGATTCATGAACTTGGGCTTAAATGCGAGGTGGTTTGGAATTCCTCTTGGAAGAAACATGTATGTAAATAATCTCTACTTTGTGTGTGGAAGGAGGTGAGTGGGAGGATATATTCCCTTAGAGAAAGTCAATTTTAAGGGTTTTGTTGTTGTTGTTGTTATTTTTGAGACAGAGTCTTACTCTGTCACCCTGGGTAGAGTGCAGTGGCGTCATCATAGCTCACTGCAACCTTCAACTCTTAGGCTCCAGGGATCCTCTTGCCTCAGCCTCCTGAGTAGCTGGGACTACAGGTGCGCTGCCACAACACCTGACACCTGGCTAATTTTTCTATTTTTAGTAGAGACGAGGTCTCACTCTTACTCAGGCTGGTCTCAAATTCCTGAGCTCAAGCAATCCGCCTGCCTCAGCCTCCTAAAGTGCTAGGATTACAGGCTTGAGCCATCATGCCTGGCCTTAAATTAATATTAATTTGGTTAGATTATTAGTCACTGTCCCTGAAGAAACAGATAGCATAGTCAATTGGGGATCTAAGTAAAATTTAATTATTTTACTCAGGATTATTTTAAAGGGTGTGGGCAGGGTTAAGCAAAGAACTAGGGACAGCGAAGGATCCCACTACTGATGAAGGCAGAGAGCTGTTACCACTACTAGGCCTGAAGGAGTAGGAGGATGAGGAGAAGCAACCCACGTGGTATAGTTGTAGCTGAATAGTGGGAGCCGGTGCTTTTTCTGTGGCGTTTGGTAAAGGGATGCTTCTGCAAGGAGTCATGAGGGTGAGTGGGTGTGATACACACCCTATCCTTTGACCCGCTCTTCTTTCATTGGTTGATCCCAATGGGAAACAAGAGAGAGAGGATGCCCTCTGATAAAATACATTCTGGTCACCCTCTGGAGGCATGTAAGAGGGTATACAAGGCAGAGTGTGGACCTGGAAGGGCAAAATGGTAGGGTCAAAAATAGTTCCAGAGAGGTGATTATGTAAGGTAGTAACATTAGGCAAGACCAGGTGAAGAGTATATAAGAACTCTACTGATTTTGCAACTCATTTGTAAATCTAAAATCATCTCAGATGAAAAGTGTGAGCATCCTTGAGAGGGAACACATTTATACATTCTGTAATTAGATACTCATTCTTGGCTACTAAGGAACATTTTCTAGATATTTGGTTATAAAATATCACCAAAGTAGTATTTAGAAAAACTGAGTGAACAAACACAAAGAAATGTCAGTGGTTATTAAACCAGGAAATTGTCTACAGAGGCTGATTTAGAAAAGAAAAAATGAAAACTAAGTGATGTTTCTGCTCGCTTCTGCACTGGCCACCCTGCTCTTCACTGTTTCCTTCCTTCCTTGATGATGTTGATAAAGAAGAACAAGTGGTGGGGGGCTGATGGGGAGGGTGTGAGGCCGGATCTCAGTAGGAGAGAGGGACAGGACACTTGCATATAGCTGTACTTGCATGTCTTTTTGAAACATTTTAAATCATAAGTGAATCACATTTGTTCAACGTCTTCATTTGCATGACATAGTGACACTCAAACTATTAACACATAGCACCATTGCCTGGCACATATTAAATGCTCAATAAGTCTTTCTTTCTGAATAACATTATTATTAACATTGAATAAATATATTTTGAGCCCATACTAAATGCTGGACTACAGTGACATATAAGACCAGTGTGATTCCTGATCTCAAGGAGATTAAGTACTGCTGAGAAAAGACAGATAAAAAATTATAGACAAATGAATTAATTACAAATTGTGGTAAATGCTTTGAAGGACACAAAAAGTGCTGAGGTGGTGGAAAACATCAGGGAAACTTGATATCTTTGAGAACTATTCCCTTCATTTGTAAATTGTTAATATATATACTAGTGTTGTTTCAAATTAAATATAATTAGATACACTTGAGTTACTTTGTTTATTTTTCTAATCCATTAAGCTATTAATACAAGAAATGGAAGATAACAGAGTTGCTAAAGATTTCTTTCTACACACTTAATCTACAACTTTGTTTCAGTTAGTAAAAATAATCATTGGTAAATGATTTCTTTAAAGTTTTCTTAACTTTGGTTATAATGCAACATTCCATTACTTGTAGCATCATGTTGCAAATTTAAGTGCTAGATCAAATGGTAAGCTTGACCAT